GGCAGCTCTCCGACGCCGTCGACCGACTGGAGCGCGCGGGGCGCCGAGTCAGCATTTCCGTGCGCCGGGATAGTAAGCTTCCGCCCACACTGCCGGCACTCGCACTCCGGCTGGACGGGCTGGCTGCGGATCTGGAGAGGCTGGAGGAGGAGGTTAGCGAGACCGTGAAATCGTCGTCGGCTTCCTTGGCGCGGGCCGCGGTGGAACTGGTTCTCGTGAGCCACCAAGTTCGTGACCCCGACTTTGTCCCATGGCGCGCACTCGAGGATTTTCCCCCGGGGACCGAGGCAAGGGCTCGGGAGCAAGTCCGGGAGGCGGCCGACGCGATCGTCTCTAACTTCGAGGGGTCGGCCCCTCGGTTCACCTTCGGGCTTGCCTCAGACGAGGAGAGCGGCAGCGGGGACGATGATGACGACTTCGGCGGCGAGGACTGGGACAACGTCGTTAGCGGCGCCAGCCTCGGGGGCCCGGGCACTCCGTGATTACCTGCGCTTCCAATTTCCCTTTGTTGTGTGCCTGTAGCGGACACTTCTTGTATTTAGGCCATCGTGCCGTTCCTGTCTTGTTCTGCAATTAAAACTTCCTTTTCGCATTTTTTGTTCCTTTGCTTTTTTCCATTGAATGCCTGCGGCATAGAAAGAAGAAAAAACAAGAGCGAAAGTATATAATTAATCTGCCTGTGATCGAAATGCCGCTTTTACCCCATCCTCCCCCCCGGGCTTGTTCTAGCGAAAAGGCAAACCAGCGCTCGGTCCGTGGTACCTAAGTGGTGAAAGGCAAAACCGTCGCCCTGAGGGAGCCGCCCAGCGGGACTGGCTAGACCGGGGCTACGACGATCGGGGGTCGGGGACGGCCGTGTGTAGGCCCTTCCGAGCCCCCGGGGTTCGGTGCAACCCGGGGCGCGGCCCGCGTTTGTGCTCCCTTTCGGCGGTTTTCAGGTCGCCCCACGGCACTTAGGGTTCAGAGTAACCGCGAACTATCCTTTGAACCAGGACAAGCCAGAGGAAAGAGAGAGAAAAAAGGGTGCATAATGGGCTTCACAGTGAGTAGAAAAATTCATTGCTTGTAAAGGGAAGAGGATACACAGTGGTAGCCCCCGGCCAAGCCCGTACAAACCGAGGGGTTGTGCGAGGGTTGGGCCGAGCTCCTGGAAAGCAAAAAATCTCGACGCTATGGATAGAAGCGACGGAGGTGTTCGATATTCCAGGGGTTAGGCAACTCCGTGCCATCCTCCGTGGTTAGTCGAACGGAGCCTGGCCGGAGAACGCCGATCACTTTGTATGGCCCCTCCCACATTGGCGAGAGCTTGCTCAGCCCCAGACGCGATTGGACGCGGCGTAGGACGAGATCGCCAACTTGCAGTGACCGGGCCCGGACGTGGCGTTGATGGTAGCGCCGCAGGCTTTGTTGGTAGCGCGCGGCACGCAGGGCTGCACGCCTTCTCCGTTCTTCAAGATAATCGAGATCGTCGCGGCGAAGATCATCCTGGTTGGCCTCATTGTACAGCGCGACGCGAGGCGATCTTAGGGAAATCTCCGAGGGTAGGACCGCTTCGGCGCCATAGACCAGGAAAAATGGTGTTTCCCCTGTGGCACGGCTTGGAGTGGTCCGATTTGCCCACAACACAGCGGGCAACTCCTCGAGCCATGAATCCCCGTGTTTCTTCAGGATGTTGTACGTCTTGGCCTTAAGGCCTTTGAGGATTTCGGCATTGGCTCGCTCGACTTGGCCGTTGCTCTTGGGGTGGGCGGGTGAGGCAAAGCACAATTTGATGCCCATGTCGTCGCAATAGTCGCCGAACAGCTCACTGGTGAACTGGGTGCCGTTATCTGTAATGATGCGGTTGGGCACTCCGAATCGTGATGTGATGCCCCTGATGAACTTGAGGGCGGAATGCTTGTCGATCTTGACGACCGGGTAAGCTTCGGGCCACTTGGTGAACTTGTCGATGGCGACGTACAGGTGCTGATACCCCCTCGAGCCGCCTTGAATGGTCCAAGGATGTCTAGCCCCCAGACCGCAAAAGGCCAAGAGAGTGGGATGACCTGTAAGGCTTGGGCCGGCTGGTGGATTTGCTTGGCGTGGAATTGGCATGCCTTGCACCGCCGGACCCATTCTTGGGCATCTTGCAATACAGTCGGCCAGTAAAAACCTTGTCGGAAGGCTTTACCGACCAAAGTTCGTGAGGCCGAATGGGCCCCGCACTCACCCTAATGGGTGTCGGCTATGAGCTCGATGCCTTGCTCTCGAGAAACACACTTCAAGAGTATCCCGTTGGCGGCACGCCGGTAGAGGGTCCCTTCTACGAGGACGTACCGCTTGGAGATATGCGCGAGCTTCTCAGCTTCTGCGCGATCCTCAGGAAGAGTATTGCCGTCGAGATACGCGCGGATGTCGGTCATCCAAACGACCTGACGGGGGGGGGGGGGGTCGGGGTTGACCCCCTCGGGCCTCGAGGGCCACGGGTCGCCAAGGGTCGGGGCGGAGGGCGTGTCATCGGGGTCCCTCGAGGGGTCTGGTTGCGCCGATGGCTGCGCGAGTCTTTCTTCGAATATTCCCGGGGGGAGTGGGGCTTGTGCCGACGCGATACGCGACAACTCATCAGCGACTGTGTTGTCACGTCGGGGCACGTGCCGGAGCTCGAGTCCGTCGAAGTGAAGTTCCATGCGCTGCACTTCACGGACATATGCGTCCATTTGTGGGTCGGTGCACCGGTACTCTTTGGATACTTGTTTCACGACCAGCTGGGAGTCACCCAGGACCAGGAGACGGCGGATGCCCATTCCGGCCGCCACCCTCAATCCCGCGAGGAGTCCTTCATATTCCGCCATGTTGTTCGTGGCTCGGAAGTCGAGCCGAACGACGTATTTGAGGACGTCCCCGCTTGGCGAAGTCAGCGTGACTCCGGCGCCCGCACCTTGAAGGTTGAGGGAGCCGTCAAAATGCATAACCTAGTGCCCACCACGAATATCGGCGTTTGGGTCCTCTTCATCTCCGGGGAGGGAGGGGACCTTGGGTGGAACAGGTTCGTCCACTGGGGTCCACTCCGCGATAAAGTCAGCTAGGACCTGGCTTTTGATTGCGTTCCGTGGTTCGAAGTACAGATCGAACTCTGCCAGCTCGATGGCCCACTTCACCACCCGTCCAGTGCCCTCTCGGTTGTGCAAGATTTGACCGAGAGGGTAGTATGTCACTACGGAAACCCGATGCGCTTGGAAATAGTGGCGCAATTTCCATGAGGCCATTAAAACTGCATAAAGCATTTTCTGGCCTGTGGGTATCAGGTTTTCGCATCTCGAAGCGCCTCGCTGACAAAGTAGACGGGCCGCTGCACCTTTCGGTGGGGCCGGTTCGTACCGTCAGGGGCCGTGATCTGGGTTGCCCTTGCTCGAGGGCCCCGGGGGGGGGGGGGTCTCGAGTCATGTCGGGATCATAGGCCTCGGGACCACTTGCCAAAGCCTCCCTTCCTCCCACGGGGGCTTCGGGGTCCTCCCGGGGGCTGGGGGCTTCGGGCTCCGGGCCTTCGGGAGACGAAGGGTCATCTCGAGTTAAAGAGGCCTCCGGTTCGCCCTCTTCGCGCTCGACTACTAGGGCGGCACTCACCACATGGGGGGTCGTGGCCAAGTAGAGTAGCAACGGTTCCTTCGGCCCCGGGGCTACCAAGATGGGGGGGGGGAAGGTGAGGTAAGCTTTCAACTGGTTGAGAGCTTGCTCAGCTTCCTCCGTCTACACAAACGGCCCAGAGCGCTTGAGGAGCTTGAATAGGGGTAGCGCCCTCTCTCCCAGCCTTGATATGAATCGACTTAGGGCGGCCATGCATCCAGTGACACACTGCACATCCCTAAGTTTGCTGGGGGGGCGCATCCTCTCTATCGCGCGTATTTTCTCGGGATTTGCTTCTATGCCTCGGGAGGAGACTAGAAAACCGAGAAGTTTGCCCGCCGGCACACCGAACACACACTTATCGGGGTTCAGTTTCACGCGTGTGGACCTAAGACTATCGAAAGTCTCAGCCAAATCCTGCAGCAATGTGTCCTGGTGGCGCGTCTTTACCACCAGGTCATCGACATACGCCTCTACATTGCGCCCTATTTGATTACTCAAAGTAATACGAGTCATGCGCTGAAAAGTAGGGCCTGCATTTTTTAACCCAAAAGGCATAGGTGTATAACAAAAGGTGCCCACAGGAGTAATGAAGACAGTTTTTTCCTCATCTTCCCTAGCCATGCGAATCTGGTGCTACCCAGAGTAGGCATCTAGAAAACACAAAAGGTCGCACCCCGCAGTGGGTCGACTATCTGATCTATGCGTGGTAGAGGGAAGGGATCTTTAGGGCATGCCTTGTTGAGGTTCGTGTAGTCGATGCACATCCGGAGCTTGCCGTTGGCCTTCGGGACGACCACCGGGTTCGCCAGCCACTCCGGATGGATAACCTCGCGGATGAAGTCAGCCTCCAGAAGCCGCGCCACTTCCTCTCGGATGAAGGCCTGTCGCTCTGGGGCTTGACGCCGCACTTTTTGCCGGACGGGTCGCGCATCCGGCCGTACGGCAAGGCGGTGCTCGATCACCTCCCTGGGGACCCCGGGCATATCCGACGGCTTCCATGCGAAGACGTCAGAATTTGCCCGCAGGAAGGAGACGAGCGCACCTTCCTATTTGGCGTCTAGGTTTCTGCCAATTTTGGCGGTCTTGGACGGATCATCGCCAAGGGGGATCTCCTTGACGGGCACCTCATCAGCCGAGGTGAGGCGCTTCTTGGAGACACGGGACGCAGAGGCCTCCGGGGCCTGCGGCTCCGTGGCCACTGCCAGGTTGTCGGCGCGTTGCTCCGCGCAGGCGAGGGCAACTTTGACATCGCCAAAGACGGTGATGGGACCAGCATGGCCCGGCATTTTCATCTGGAGGTAGACATAGTGGGTGGCAGCCATGAACTTCACCAACACGGGTCTGCCCAGGACCGCGTTGTAGGGCAGATTGAGGTCCGCCACATCGAAGTCGATTCACTCGGTGCGGAAGTTGGTGGAGTCGCTGAAGGTCACCGGGAGCTCGACGTGGCCAAGAGGCCACGTATGTCCCGGAGTCACGCCGATGATCGGCAGCGACGGCTGGAGCTTCATCCCTGGGGCCTTGAGCACGTTGAAGGCGGCTGGGGAAATGATGCTCAGGCTGGCTCCCCCATCAACCAGGACACGCTTCATCCTGACGTTGTGAATGGTCGGGGAGGCCACAAGGGCCAACTTCCCTCCTCGAGCGAGCACTGTCGGATGGTCGCTCTGGTCAAAGGTGAGCTTCACCTCCGACCAGCGCGCCTTCCGAGCCACCTCGTGCGTGGGAACAGCAGCCAAAAGCTCTTGCCTCATGGCCTTGAAGCTCCGGCGAGAGGTGTGAGCGCACGCCCCCCCCCCCCCGGTCGAGCGTGGCGATGGTTCCCTGAGGTATCTGGAAATCCAGATCCTCATTGTCACCGCCATCATCTGCGGGGGCCTTGTTCTTGGCCTCTTCTCGCCGATCACCGGTTGAGGTCGCGGGGGCCTTGCCCTCCCGTCGACCCTACCGCTTCTCCTCATCGGCCTTTTGGAATCGCTCGGCCAAATTCTTGACCGAGCGGCAGTCGGTGAGACTGTGCCGATAAGTGTTGTGCACCGAGCACCACTTGTCTGCCGACCGGCCCTCGCTGGGTGGAGCAGTGGAGCTCGGCTTGTCATCGGTGGCCTTTCCCTTGCGCGGGGCCCGTGCGGGCCCATCTGCCGCAAGGACATGGCCCTCGTCATCAGAGCGGGCCGGCTTTCTTTTGCCTCCTATCTCGCCGCTTAGAGCGGGGGGCAGACTCGGGGGCAGCTGTGGCCGCCGCACCGGTGCCGGGAGAGTTCCAGGCCCAGCCTCCTCCTTCCGAGCCACCTTGTCCGCCAGCTCAAAAAGCTCGGCGGTGGTCTTGGGCTCCTTGGAGGCGATCTTCTCTAACATGCGGTTATGCCGCACGCCATTCCGAAACGCATACACGACCGCGTGGGCCGGAATGCATGGAATAGTGTTGCGGGCCTGACAAAAGCGCTGTATGTACGAGCGGAGGGACTCGTCGTCCTTCCGCCGTACAGCGTGCAGGTCCGCCTCTTCTCCTGGGCGGGGATATGTGCCCTGAAAGTTCGTAACGAACTGCTGGCACAGATCCTCCCAGGAGTGGATGGAGACGGGGGGCTGGGTCATCAACCAGCCACGCGCCTGACCCTTGAGGGCCATGGGGAAGTAATTTGCCATGACGCGGTTGTCACCCCCTGCTGCCACGATAATCGTGATGTAGATCTGGAGGAACTCGGAAGGATTGATGCTGCCATCATACTTCTCCGTGAGGTTGGGGCGAAACTTCGGGAGCCACCGGACATTCCGGAGACTCGCCACGAAGGCCCTACAACCCGTCCCTCCAGGGGTGAACGTGGGGGGAGGGCCGCCTCGTGAGGAGGAACGTGGCTCTCCAGATGAGGAGGCGCCTTCCCCCATGCGGGCAGCTCGGCGCTCGTCCCTGCGTCGCTCGATGTTAATCCAAGCGTCCTGCTCCCCATAGAGACCGTCAAGATGCCTCCGGCTTCCCGAGGCCCCTGACGATGTTGGCGCCGTGGACCGCCTTGAGGCGGTGGCCGAGCGGCGGGCCCTCCTCGTTGCCGACGAGGAGAGGGTAATAGGAGTACGCGACGTACTGGTGGTGGCAGGTCGGCCGCCCGCGGCCAACTGCCGCTGGGCATAGGTGACCAAGTTAGCCACGTCGTCCAGCCAACGCTGAACAGGGGTCTCCGGCTCCGAGTTTACGGGGGGATGCCGCAGAAGGGCACTCGCCGCCTGAAGTGCGCCTCGGGGCGAATCGCCGTCGCCGTAAGTGAGGCGGCGACGTGCCCCGACGCGTCGTGGCCTCCCCCTGCCCGGGAGCGGAGAGAGGGCCGAACCACCCGAACGGGTGGCATCCTCCCTCCGCGAGGGTTCGCGGCAGGGAGGAGTTGGGGAGTTGCGGTGGCGGTGACGAGGGCCGCGGCTCCCACTAGAATCCCCACTCCCGGACGGGGTGGGGGTAAACGCCACCGCCTCCTCCACCTCCAGGACCTCGACCATGGTCGTCAAGGGCCCAGGGAAACTTGGGGCAGAAGAAAACGCCTTCACTTCAAAGCGCGCGACCTTCCCCCTACCTGGCGCGCCAGCTGTCGAGGGAAGTCCCTCGATAGCGGGAGGTCGTGAGACCCCCCTTTCGTGAGTTCGGCCGGGGGAAGAGGCTCGCCTCTTAGAAATCACGTATCCGCCTCTAATACTACTAGCTAGCTTGCACACAATCGGATTATACAGGTTCGGGCCGCTGTGGAGCGTAATACCCTACTCCTGTGTTTGAGATGATGGTTAACAGTTACAAGGGTTCCTTAACTCCGGAGAGCTTTCTCCCCTTCTTCTCCTAGAGTTCAGGAAAACATTGCTCAACCCGCCCATAACCGCGGGCACGGCTATTCGAATAGTTTTACTCTGGCCAGAGGTGTACCACTGTACCCACAAGACACAGCCTCAACATCATGTCTACCATGCGTCGCGATACTGGAAAGTACCCGAATAGAGGCTGTGACAATACCCTTTGTACAACACAACTCACCATAGTGCACCATTCCTGGATCATAATCACCCCCTTATAAAACAAGGCATGGACTCCCCAGCGACCCCCGTGGGCTTATCTCCGCCACTTCTCAGTCTGGTGCTCCGCAATGAACCATGCTATACAAAAGGTAAAGCCGTTGCCCACGCTGGCTTGTGGTTGGCACGATTAATATTTCACAATAGTAGCTCGCGAACCGGTCCTTAATTGCCATGAGCACGACTCTCAAAACCATGTGCTCACAACCCACCATTATCAAGTTTTAGTTGGCAAGTAATTAATTAACCAATCACGATTGACCATCGTGAACTATCATTAAGCCATCATTAATTAATTAATAGTGAATCATAAGTTATCCCAATAGTGTGCTAATGTTTCTAAGCATGGCTAAGCAATTATATCTAATATCTAGCTGAACCAATATATAAAGCTCAACTAGTCAAGTTATAATAACCCAAGGTATCAAGGAATAAAGTAATCAAGAACAAAAGGGCTATAACAAAGAAATAGGTTCACACCACCCAGTGACATTCGAAAATAAATGCACAGTTGAAATAAATAGAGAATTTAAATATAGGATCAACATGCTCAAAGGATTGTGTTTAGGATCTGTGTGACTTGCCTTGCAATAATCGGTCTTCAATTAATCTTCTGAACACTCCCGACGCACTCACGAACCTTCGCAATGACGGAAACGACAAACTAACACGCAAAACGAAGAAAAAGACTAATAAAAACCAAATAAACAGTACATATAAAGTAAACAAACATGTAGATCATGATTTTAGATGAATTTAGCAACTTGAACCACTCAAAACCGAGTTACGATGATTTAGTTATGAATTTCCGAAGATTTAATCTATTAGAAAAACATGAAAAAGAAAAACGATGATGACGTCATGATGACCTCAACAATGGCCGGACCAAGATGGCGACCTCGCCGGAGATTGGATGGTCGGCTGCGACTTTGGAGGACATGTACACGTAGAGGACGACGAGACGAACCCAACGGTACTCACCCTCGAACCAAACGACGAACGACGACGGCCGGCGACGACTTGGCGATCCCGATGGTGGCGACGGCGACCGACGACGGCGACTGCAACGGCGGCGCGGCGCGGCTGAACCGACGGCAACGACGGCGGCGACTAGGGCTACGCGGAGGCGGCGCTAGACACGACGGCGAGCTAAGGAAAAGGTGGCGGCGGGTAGAGGAGACACCGGGGGTCCTTATATAGGTGCAAGGAGGCGGCGGCGAAGGCCCACGGCGGCCGGCGGCGAGAAGGAAACTTCGGAGTTGGAGGAGAGAGATGAATCCGATTCGAGATCGAATCCACAAGTTTCCAAACCAAATTAGGCGATGATTCCCTAAGAGAAAAGGAAGAGGAGATCGAGAAGATCATTTCCCCTCTATTGATTTCACCAGATCGGGAAAGACGCGGCCGAATTTGGAAGGAGACGGCGGCGGCTTGCGCTAGGGTTTCGGGCGGCGGCGGCGCGAGGTTGAAGACAAGCCTGACAAGTGGGACCCACCTGTCAGCGACTGAGAGAGAGAAGAGAGCGGCGACTCGGCTGCGGGCTGCGGACTGGGCCTGACTGGGCCGGGGAGAGAGAGAAAGAGAGAGGTTTTGGGCCGGCTTTCGGCCCAAAGCCAAAAGGAGGATTTTAAAACCTTTTTCTATTTAAATTATTCATGAAATGCAATTCCATTTATTAAAAATACTTCCTTAGCTCAAATAAATCCCAGAAAAATCTAGGAATTATAGAATTAAGCAAAGTATTTAATGAAATTTTATCTGGCCCCATTTTATATTGAGATTTAACAAATTAAAATTAGATCTTCTCTTTTAGGCTTTTAAAATCATTTCTAATAATTCCTTTTAAACAACAATTTATAATTTAAGGATTTTTAAACAAGAAAAGCTCTTAACAAATATAATTAGATCATCAATGATCAAATAATTACTGAACTGTTCTTTGTATCATTTAGGAATTGAGCTCTGAAAAATCCGAGAAAATTTCAGAGAGTATACTTAATCATGGAGAATTTAATAAAAATTAAATCCATCCATGCCTTAGATTTAGGAAATTTTATTTCCCACATTTAACTTCACTTGTAAATTAAAGATCATTTAATATAAATTCTATTATTAATTTATTAAATAATTTATAAATCCTGAAACAAAAATCAGGATGTGACATATCGCCACCCCCCGCCTGACACGGGGAACAGCCATGTCATTCCCTCGTAAATGGGTGAAGACTTGTGGTGGTCCTTTTCTCATGGAGGGAACCCTGAATGACGCCCTGATGGGACGGGTCATACCTACTTCCACTCCGCCTGTTACAGAGGCGACGTGGGGCACGGCCGCCCGTTCAATCGGATATGACCGGCAACAGGCCGGTCACAGACTGGTCACGTCCGATTGATGTGGGTCAATTAGGCAGCACCGCACGTCTGCCCTTACCGCTTTAAATGCGGCGAGGGACAGTTGGGGCGCTGCGCATTGATGGCTGTTCAGCCTGGGCCCCCTTCCTGCTCCCTCCCCCCGCCACATGGCAGCTGGGCGAGAGCCTCGGGGCGAGGCAGCGGGAGAGCCCGAGGGGCACGATGTGGCACCCCGAGGCCCCCCCGGCCGCTTCTGTGACTCACGAGGCGCGGGAGTAGGGCCAGGCTGTAGAGCCACATGGCTGGATGGAAAGGTAACTTTCCCCCACTTCACATACCCCCGGGCCCATATCTCCGACACACAGCAATGTGTAGTTAGCACCTTTTCAGGCTGAATGAAGTTACTACGTTAACAAATAGCCTTACCTGAATGTCTTGATGCAGACCAATAGGCTGAAACTCATCGAATAGCTTCACTGCGCAGCAGAAATTGTGTGATTCCGTAGGAACATAAATACTCCACGAACTACGAACCAAAGTGACTCGTTGAACTCCTGCAATTGCTTAACCCAAATACCTGCAAGTGAAACAAAATATTCAGACCTATACAGTTGAGTGTAGTTTCATTTTTTATCACTGACTCACCAATTTTTGCCAAGTCTGCATGAAGCTAGGGAGAACACAATCACAGTAAAAGAAAAACAGAAGTCATCGATATTCTCCTCTTCAAACAATCCCCAATTACATTGAGAAGTGAGCAGATGGACGGAAATTGATCATCTCAAATTTAAATAACATGTAGAAGTGGAAAATGAAGACAGGGAAATGAACAATGCAAATTAAAGGTGCCATCATCGCCGTTCAGCTGTGGCTGGTTGGCAGAACAAATAAAATCCATAGACTATTCAACGGGAGGAAGCATAGGTAAGCGGGATGAGATGAGTCTTGTAACCTATGATTATCGGAGGATTAGAGTATTTGATGGGATGACAACTCGTGTATGTGTATGCATTATGGCGTTGGACACATCAGGCCGCCCTTGGTGGATGATGCGGGTTGCCGGCGACGTGCTATGCTTCCGCGGGAGAAAGGCAAGCATACATAGAGGAAGACGTCAAGTAGGTGATGTGTATGGAAGATGAATGATTAAAACTCCTCACAATGTGCACTACCTTTGCCGTTACAGCCTGCTCAAGTTCCTTGGCGATTAATACACCAGCGGTTACAGGATAGCAAGAGCCTATAGGACCATACTGGAGCGAGGAAGCCAACGTGCCTGTAAGAGCTCGGTAATTATGGGCTTGTTGAATGGTTGATAGATCATGAGTGTATGAGATCAGTGTCTGAGATCGATGTGTGGCTGAATCGAACGGCTGAAACTGATAGATGTGACGTGGCTCACTGAGAAGCAAGGAAAATAGTTTTAATTGCAGTTAGTGGGGATGAATTGTATAGGTATATAGGATTAAGCAATGAATCAGAATTAGTCTTCTCCAACCTAAGTCCCCCTCTCATCCCTACCAGCTGTCATCGCCTGGCTATCCTCCCGGTGGTGTTTACCCCCTATGAACCCTAACCTATAACAACTTGGTAGGCGGTGTTTACCCGCTATAAATCCTAACCCATAACAATCACCATGGTTATGTTGGAATTATAATGTGGGGGGCAAGGCCCATATATAATAATTACTACCCACGTGAATAATATATTTTAGGAAAATCTTAAAAAAATATTTTGTACTTACTGCCCACATCATGATTGTCGGAGTATGGAACTCCATGGCGGATTTAGGATTTAAGATACGGGTGGTCCAATCCAATTTTCTTTCTAAACATAGTAAATCTAAAGATGCTAATATATACAATGCAATTATAGATAATAAAATAGATCAAAAGTATAACATAATATACTAATAATAAAGCATATTAAAACATACAAAATTAGTAATATGGCTATAAAAGTTTAAAGAAGATTACCATACTACTACGATTACAATATATGAAAAAGTACGAATAACCCCCCTCCCTCCCCCCCCCCGAATTATCGCGGTCGTCCTGATTACTCCCCTGAACCACAAAACCGGACATTCTTCACCCCCAACTATGCAAACCGGACGAATTACCCCCTTGACCTAATCCGCGGTGGTTTTGGTCTACGTGGCGTACGCGTGGCGGTCCAGTCAGTATTTTATTTATTAAAAAATGTGGGACCCACCTATCATACTCCTATTCCACTATTCCTCTCTCTCACACACTCTTCCTCTCTCTCTCTTCTCTCACTCTCTGTCTCACACGCGCACGGCGGCAGAGGAAGCGGCGAGCGGCGGCGGAATGCAGTGGAGGAGGCGAGGTGAGGCTGCGGTGGTAGCGGAGGAGGCGAGCGGTGGCGGGAGCTCGTGCTGCTTGAGGCGAGGCGAGGCGGCGGCAGCGGGGTGCGGCGGAGGATGCGAGCGTGGAGGCAGAGGAGGTGAGCGCGGCAGCGGCGGTTGGCGGGGGGCAACAGACGACGGCGCGCGGCGCGGGCGGGGCTCGAGGGGAGACGGCGATGGCGCGCGGGCGGCGGGGTTGAGATGCCGCGGGCCGGGTGCCGGCGGTGGTACTCGCCATCGCAGCCAACGATGCGGCGGGACCTCCTGGCGTGGAGCCCGTCATCCTCCTCATCCGCCGCGCGGGCGAGGCCCGAGAAGGAGGTGGCGATGGTGTGGCCCGAGTAGGAGGCGAGGTTGCGGGCGGCGGGGTTGACCGGCTCGAGCGCGTCGTCGTCGGTAGTCGCATAGCTCCGTGCGCCCGCGTCGTCGCGTAGTCGTTCAGCTCCGCTAGCCGCCGCGACTCGGCCACCGCTCATGTCGCCACGAACAGGTCATGCAACCGCCGTGACGAGCTCCCGCCGTGGAGGGCCGGCACCACCAGCTGCTGCTCCGCGCGGCATGCCAGAGAAGGCGACGATGGCGAGGCGGTCGGATCGCATCCTGCTCCGAGCTCCATCCGAGAGGGAGGGGGGAAGCCGCGCCCAGCTCCTCATCCCCGCCGCCGCCACTCTGCGTCACTCACCGCCGCCGCCGCTCCGTGTCCCTCGTCGCTGTTGACCCGGGAGACGGTGAGAGAGAGGAAGAGTGAGAGAGAGAAGTGAGAGAGAGAGAGTGAGAGGGAAAAGAGAGAGTAGTGTATGATAGGTGGGTCCCACATTTTCTTAATAAATAAAATGCTGACTGGACCACCACGCGTATGCCACGTAGACCAAAACCACCACGGATTAGGTTGAGGGGGGTAATTCGTCCGGTTTGCATAGTTGGGAGTGAAGAATGTCCGGTTTTGTGGTTCAGGGAGGTAATTCGGACGACCGCGACAATTCGGGAGGGGTGGGAGGGAGGGGGGTAATTTGTATTTTTTCCTATATTGTAAGACTACGGGCATCTAAGTGAAAAACTGACATGTTCAAGCTGCCAATTCTTTATGTTGAAAGCACGAGACCTAACGATCTTGGGAATATTTTGCGAACCCTCAATCTATCTTCTATTATATTATTAAAACAGCCTTGAAAGGAGGCACCATGTTCGCTGTGGAGACTAGAAATTCACACATTAATCAGAGAAAAAGAAAAGAAGAGTCCAAGTAGAAATACAATCTAAAACTATAGCTGAAATTCGGAATTAAAAATAAGCAATATTGAAAGAAGAGTCCACGTAGGAATCTAATACGAGATTAATCAAAATTCCGAATAAAAATAAAATAAAATCCGAAATTAGCAAAAAAAAGAAGAAGAGTTAAAGTAGGAATACAATTTAAAAATAAATAAAATTCAGAATTGAAAATAAGAAATATTGAAAGAAGAGTTCATACAAGAATCCAATACGAGATTAATTAAAATTCAGAATAAAAAATAAAAAATCAAAATTAGAAAAAAAGAAAAGAAAAGAAGAGTTCTAGTAGAAATATAATTTAGAATTAACTGAAATTCGGAATTAAATATAAGTAATATTGAAATAACAGTATATATAAGAACATAATAGTAGATTAATTAAAGTTTGGAATAAAAAATAAAATAAAATCTGAAATTAGGCAAATTAAGAAGAGAGTTCAAGTAGAAATACAATTTTGAAACAACTGAAATTGAAAATAAAAATAAAAATATAAAAAAACACAATATGAAAAATAAAATAAATTCTGAAATTAAAAAAGAAAGATAATATTTCAACTCGGAATACAATTTATGAATAACTAAAATTAGTGATAAAAAATAAAGACTATTGAAAGAAAAGACCATCTAAAACACATGACGAGATTAATCAAGTAACACATCTATATAGGAGTAGAGTGGTGGCGGTTGATGGACATCTAAAAACTATTAATAAAACACCAAATAGAAAATCCTAATGTCGATTAAAAGGAAAGGACGACGGGCAGCTCATGAAGCAATCAGTTAAGGCGGTTGGCGGAACTTCTAGAAAGTAAAAAAAAATAATGATAATCATATTTGATTTTAAAAATCTCAATTACAATAAAAATGAGAGACAACAGGTGTGTCGTATTGGAGTACAATGACAGAGCCGTCGATGGTTGGTGGGTCTCATAGAAAGTAAAAAATGAATTTCAATGATAGTTATGTTGGATTTTTTTCAATCCCAATGACAGTAAAGAGTATGCGGCGGACGAGTCGTAGAGTAGTATAGTGGCAGTGTTTGACGGGATTTCTAAAAATTATATATATATATATATATATATATATATATATATATATATATATATATATATATATATATAAACCCAACGAGATAATAAACTCTAAAAAAAAAATAAGGTCCAATTTTTAAAGGTTTGGGTTTAGTTTTTAATAAGGACGAATTTTGATCAAGGCGTAAAGGACAAAGTAGCAAACAACTTTGTACAAGAATCATCAATAATGATTTGTAATGCTGAATGTTTCGCTTAGCGGCAACCCCGCTCTCCATCTTCACAGGCTCACAGCACACTTCAGTTCTTCTAGAAGGAAATATAAAACGAGTTCTTTGTTTGATCTTTCAACATTTTTATTTTTTTTAAAAAAAAGTAAGTATACACAGTGGAGTGCAGTTGAGCACCAGATTCGTTCACCGACCTGACGACGCTGAGCCAATCATCTCTGAGCGTCACGGTCCACCAAACGAAAACCCCGAACGCAACGCAACAGCATCGCCACTTCACCCACCATTCGGTCGGCCTTTACAAATTGCCGGTCGCTTCGCTCGCCGTGCAAACCAAGCCAGCGTCGGGCCAAGCCAACGCCGACCACCGAGGCGACCGGAGAAGCGCGGCGAGGTAGGCCCCGATGGCGGCGGCGGCGGCAGCCGGAGCGGGCGCGGACGAGGAGGTGGACTTCGAGTTCTTCCCCATCATCCGCCGCTACAAGGGCGGCCGCGTCGAGCGGTTCATGAACATCCCCCCGCTCCCCGCCGGCACCGACCCCGCCACCGGCGTCACGTCCAAGGACGTCGTCGTCGACCCGGCCGTCGGCCTCTGGGCGCGCCTCTTCCTCCCGCCTGGCGGCGGTGCTCCCCAGGGTAAGCTCCCCGTCGTCGTGTACTACCACGGCGGGGCCTACGTCGTCGGCTCGGCCGCCGACCCGTTCACGCACTCCTACCTCAACGGCCTCGTCGCCGAGGCTGGAATTCTCGCCGTCGCGCTGGAGTACCGCCTCGCGCCGGAGCACCACCTCCCCGCGGCGTACGACGACTCGTGGGAGGGGCTCAGGTGGGTGGCCTCCCACGCGAACGGCGGCGGCGGCGTCGAGCCGTGGCTGCTCGAGCACGGCGACTTCTCCCGCGTGTTCCTGGCGGGCGCCAGCGCCGGCGGCAACATCGCGCACTACGTCGCCGCGCGCGCCGGCGAGCACGGCGGCCTCGGGCTCAGCATCAGGGGCCTGCTCGTCGTGCACCCCTACTTCAGCGGCGCGGCGGACATCTGCGCGGAGGGGACGACGGGGAAGGCGGAGAAGGCCAAGGCCGACGAGTTCTGGCGGTTCATCTACCCGGGCTCGCCGGGGCTGGACGACCCGCTGTCCAACCCCTTCTCGGACGCCGCCGGCGGCATCAGCGCGGCGCGCGTCGCCGCCGACCGCGTGCTGGTCTGCGTCGCCGAGAAGGACTCGCTCCGGGACAGGGGCGTCTGGTACTACGAGAGCCTCAAGGCCAGCGGCTACGCCGGCGAGGTGGACCTCCTCGAGTCCATGGGCGAGGGCCACGTCTTCTACTGCATGGATCCGCGCTGCGAGAGAGCGCGGGAGATGCAGGCGCGCATCCTCAGCTTCCTCCGCAAGTGAAGCTCCTCCACGACGCGAAGGCTTCGCCATGATGGAATAATTCTGGCGCTTTGTGATGCCGCCATTGTTGAGCTCGAGGGCTCCTGTAGCTTGTCGCTCGTCAGTTCAGGCATCTTTTGTGCCAATTGACGATCTTATTCTTCAAGAGTTGGAAATCATCGAACAAATTGGAAATTTCTATTCGAATCATCAATCAGTTATCATATAAGAATAAGTTGCATTTTGCACCAGCACAACGCACATATTTAGCAAATAATTTTCACTTTACACTGGGTTGTATTAAAATAAGTTCCATTTAACATCATGGTATATCAACAAACAATAGGATGCAACATAGTGCAAAGTGAAATCTTGATGTAAAATGGATGTACTACACTTGTTACAAAGCAAAACAAGATACACTCTACCTAGTGCAAAGTGTAATTTACCCATCAATTAATCAATCACAACCTTGCACAAATTATAGCTGAAGTTTAGGGTCAATTATTTGCAAATGATTCCCTTCCAATTGATTTGGAGGGAATATGATTGCTTGCCACTCTGTGGAGGTGCATTTGATCATTTCTCATCCTGCTCACTGTAACAAATTATTCACTAGAGGTTATTAATGTCATGGTTTATTCCAAATAACACCCTTACCCTCTTTGTGCCGTCATGGAATACGAGACAGCATTTCTGCATTTGTAGGGACAAAAATGTCTATAACGCCAAACGATCATATTTCGAATCAAATTAGTATAAATTCCACAGGTATTACAAATTACTTCGTGGCAAATAATGGTAGAAGCCACCACAACAATATGGCAAAAGAAAAGGAAAAAGAAAAATTTCCCCATCTTATTTAGATTAGACTAAACACGCTCCAAATCTGACTCCGCCGCCGGCGATCTTCATTTCTTGATGAATTCGACGTTGCGCTCCAGCAGCTCGACGGCCTGGTCGGAGCCCGCCATGCCGACGAAGTGGAACGCGTGGCCGACGCCCTTGGACTCGAACAGCTCCACCTCGCCGCCATAGCCGCTCGCCTTGAGCTCCCGGTGGTACCACAGCCCCCGCTCCTTGAGCAGGACGTCCTGCTCGGCCACGCACACCTGCACGCGCTCGCACGGGATCGCGGCGGCGGCGGCGCGCGTCGCGTCGTCGACGAACGGGTTCACGCGCGGGTCGTCCAGCCCGGACGTCTCCGGGAACACGAACCGCCATGTCCGGTCGAAGAACTCGCGGACGTCCGGGCCGAACGCCGCCTCGGCGCCCACGGCCTCCTTGCCGGTGAAGTAGGGGTGGACCACCACGAGGCCGCGGAGGGTCACCCCGTCCGGGAGCGCGCCGCCGCCGCCGCAGCGGACGGCCATGTTGTGGGCGATGTTGGCGCCGGCGCTGCAGCCGGCGAGGAACAGGCGGGAGAGGTCGGCGTGGTCGAGCAGCCACGGGTCGGCGCCGTCCCCGCGCGTCGCCGCCCACCGCACGGCCGCCCACGCGTCCTCGTACGCCGCCGGGAGCGGGTTCTCCGGCGCGAGGCGGTAGTACACGGACACCCCAATCGCGCCGGCCCGGGCCACGAGATCGTTGAGGTAGGCGTGGGTGCTCGGCCTGGCGGGCGAGCCGGTGACGAACCCGCCGCCATGGAAGTACACCACGACGGGGAGCTTCTCGGTGGACACGGCGGCGCCGGGCGGGAGGTAGACGCGCGCCCTGGCGGCGCCGGCGTGGATGTCGCGGGAGACGACGCGGGTGACGGGGTCGGTGCCGGCGGGGACGGTGGGGTCGCCGCCGAGGCGGAAGACGCGGCCGCTCTTGTACTGGCAGAGGTAGGGCTGGAAGTCGAAGGCGACCTCGGAGTCGGGATCCATGGCGGATGGGGAGCGGTTGGTGGCCGGATCGGGAGACGGAAATGAGTTGGCCACCTGCAACAAATCGAGCTGGAAACTTAAAAAGAAGTCTAGTTCACTTCAAGAAGTTCAACGCGGGGGAGAGAGAGATAGTGGGAGCGTGGTTGGTGAGGGTAGAGACTTGCGGCGAGTGGCAACGCCGCTTTCTCAACTTTTTATTTCCCCATTTGGTGATCGGTGAACAACTTTTATAATTATTTTCCCCATAGTATGACCCGCTCAAAAACTAATTACTGCTCCCTCCCTTTCATATTATAAATCATTTTGATTTTTTTTCATAATTAATTTTTTTAAAAATTTATAGAAAAATAATTAATTTTTTTAAAAATTTATAGAAAAAACTAGTACTCCCTCAATACTCATAAAGGAAGTCGTTTAGGACAATGTTTAAATCAAACCTTAGGAATATAAATCATAAATAACTCTCAAGTTGTTAAGTTTGAAAATATAAAAATTATATGTATAGATTTTTCTTGAAAAATACTTTCATAAAAATATACATATATCACTTTTCAATATATTTTTATAGAAATAAGAAATCAAAGTTGTATTTTAGAGACCGTGTCACTATCCTAAACGATTTCCTTTACGAGTATGAAGGGAGTATCATTTACAATACCAAATTAGTTTCATTAAATATACTAGTAATATGTTTGTGTTGAAAATATTACTATATTTTTCTATAAACTTGATCAAGTTTGATTAGAAGAAAAACTAAAGTGGCTTACAATATAAAACAAAGGAAGTACTAGTATTAATAAAGACTATTTCTTCTCGTGTTTATTTAGATGATGTGAGAACCGATTACGATCGACTTCTGTTCAGTGAGGTCGCCGCAACTCTTAAGAGCTGAACAAATACAAAGGCATTCACCGAATAAATCGGTGCAAGTTGGTGACAGTTCTTGAAGATGGGTGGGCGATGGCACTAGTTGCAGGCTTGCAGCTATCCTTGGACTTTTTTTTTTGCATGAAGTTCACAGCCAGCCCTGTCTGGATCCCCGACCGACTATCCAGCATGGTACACAAAGACAACAGTATTTTGACGGTAAGGAGATTGATTAACTGATAAAAACGGTTGGTGAACTTGGCATCATCCATTTGGTCAGACTGCCAACGACCCAAAAGCCAACAGAGCAAAAAGGAACGGCTAGAAGTTGAAACTTAGGCTGTGTTTAGTTCCACGTCAAAATTAGAAGTTTAAAGAAATTGGAACGATGTGATAGAAAAGTTGGAAGTTTGTGTGTATAAGAAAACTTGATGTGACGGAAAAGTTAGAAGTTTAAAGAAAAAAGTTGGGAACTAAACAATGCCTTAGTGGTTTTGGTGGTTGGGGGCTTAAGGGAAGACAGCCACAACACCGCCAGTTAACTGAGGCGGGTTAAAGGGCTCAAACCAGAGATTTTATAGGATTTTCATAGGAATTTATCCAAACTCCCCTAAAAATCCTTATAAATTCCTCACTTCCAAAGGATATATTAGTTCCAGGCTACCCCCTTAGAGACCACCATATGGAAATCCTTGTACTACCAATGAGTAATTTAAGCACACGTAGCAACTGAAGAGCGTGAAAACTCAATTCAAGAGATGTAAAGTATGGAAAAAAAAAACCCGCTACCTGATATGATTTTCAAATTCATACACAGTATTGATCTCAAAATGTTCTCCAGATCATTTGACTCAGAGGTTGATACTTTCCCAGTTTCCATACATAGTGTAACATAGACAATGTTATTGTCATGGGCTTGTTAGCATGCTACTTACTGCGTTTTGCAGGGAGGCAAGTGAATCAACTGCAGTCTTTGTGAACCAACTGATTCCAACCTTCACTCGATGTTCATCTGTGGGCATCCTAAGGCAGTATACAATCTTCCTAGCTGCAGAACCAAGTTGAATGTTATTCTTAAACGTAAAATTATGCAAAAACAGGAAAAGAACATGCCGGTGAGGATTCATACCAGCATGCCCTAAAGGTCCTTCCAAGGTCAGGCCCTCAATAAAGCTTGCTGTTATCGCAGCATCACTTCTACCAAGTGTCATCATCTCACCAAGATTTTGAAACCTGAAAAGTTACACAGGATATTTAGCTCTTCTATGAAGTTCAACTATTCCTACAGACATGACAGAACATTAGCATTAAAAAAGAAATGAAAATCCTTAGTAATCCTGAATACGTCAACATAGACAGTTCAGCTAGATTTAAACCTGAATGGCAGAAGAGGTCGGTCATTGATTGCTGCCCAGAGATTCCATCCAGCAAAATCTGCTTGTTGAAAAGCAACCTGCATGATAAGAGTAATCATTGGTTAAGAAACTACCAAGGCAGCATCTGCCTAAAGTTAGTCCAGTAAAATGCCTTACCTGTGCAGTGGCTGGGAGAAGTTTGCCTGATGGGTCTCTTAGAGCTGCTGAATCACCGATTGCAAAAGTTCGAGGATGGCCTTTTACCTGAAGGGTTTCCTCAGTCTCTACCTGGCCCCGACCATTTAAAGGAATAACATATGGAGCATCTGGAGGCTGTAACCGAGGAATCTGAGAGGTTGAACCCACTGTCCATAATACCATATCAGCCTCCAGAACCTGGCTCTGGATGCCCCTTTGAGCAGGTTGAAGTTCCAATAGTAGTTTCTTATGGTCACCATTAACTTCTTTTGCATCTGTAACCATGCTACTTGAATCCTCAGATGCAGAAGCTTCTCTGATGCAGTTCACAAAATATCCCAAGAAAAGTTGAATATTTCGAGATTCAAGAACCTGGTGAGGAACTCATGAAACCATTTTTCTTTCATTAGTTAGATACTTAGATGCCACCTCAGAATATAGAGGATTGCCCAACTTACAGTGTTTATCACAACTGTCTCTGATGCTTAGAGTTCTTAGTTTCTCACCTTCAGAGCAGCGTCGCGGTTTCCAGGTGGTGCACTGGGACAGATAGTTGTCTGAACATTGATGGCTTGAACAATCCCTTTGTTCTTTAGTCTCTCAGAGATAGTAGCAGCTAACTCTACACCAGAGTAACCCAATCCCACAATGGCCACCTGAATATCGGGGGAATTTTTACCAAACCTTCTCCTTTCCAACATTTTCAGCTGGCTTTCAACTTTCTGAAAATAAAATAGGACAATACAACAACATTAGGATTCTGGATGACCATGGTCCCGTCCAACAAACCTAAAGCAACTATTGATCTAATCAGCTATAATAAACAAGCAATGATATTTATGAACTAATGGCTAAAAATAGGCAATATAACATTAGATTTAAAAAAATATGATCACTTATATAAACAATTACCATAACACATGAACATAGCATCATTGAAGCATATAATAAACATAGTCA